AAAAAAAAAGCACCATAGAGCATCAAAAAAATTACTGAATTAGATTTTTTGCCCACTTAGAAATATTGTAATATTATAATATTAATATTGTAAGTTAATGCCTGTCCATTTATGTTAATACGGTAGTTATGCGCTCAGATTAAAGTCTTAACAGTGCTAACTTTTCTCTCTCTCTCTTTCTCTGACCCCTAACTCCTTCCTACTATCTACCTCTCTCTCTTTCTTCCTTTTTCATCATACAGAAATCCAGACAAGGGCCTCCAGTTTCTCATCTCTCGTGGGTTCATTCCAGATACGCCTATAGGTGTTGCACACTTCCTGCTCCAGAGGAAGGGGCTGAGTCGACAGATGATCGGCGAGTTTCTTGGCAACAGCAAGAAGCCGTTTAACAGAGATGTGTTAGAGTGAGTATTTGAAAATCCCTACCAGAATGCATGGTTTAAAAAAGAGCAATGAGAGTCTGTAACTGTGTGTGAAAAAGAGAACAATATCATAAAATAGAGAATATTTACACTTTTAAATGGAAGCATTTTTGTTTTGTTTTGTTTTGTTTTCTCTGTGGATTTGGAGAGTCATGGCATCTTTTAATGAGATCTTCGGCTGCTGAGCTCCCGCAGTCTAACTGCAGAGCTTTGCACTTGGAAATGATACACTCTTGAGACCTCTTAGCAGAGTCAGTGTGCATGTCTGTCTGTGTGTGCGTGTGTGTGTGTGTGTGCATGTTTATGTGGTTTATGAGGACACAAATTTGTATAATAACTTGGGTATGACATAGGTATTACAACGAGAAGGTGATTTATGAGGACATTTTCAGTGTCCCCGTAATTCAAAAGGCTTATAAATAATTCAGAATGAGTTTTTTTGCAAATCTAAAAATGCAGAAAGTTTCCTGTGAGGGGTAGGTTTAGGGGTATGGTTGGTGTAGGGCAATAGAAAATACGGTTTGTACAGTATAAAAACCATTACGCCTATGGAGAGTCCCCATAAACCATAAAAACAAACCTGTGTGTGTGTGTGTGTATAGAGTGCAGAACATATGAGTTTTTTGAAGTGATGCATCTTCTAGCCTTAAAGGGATAGTTCACCCAAAATGGAAAATTCTGTCATCATTTACACACCACCACCAACTGTTTGGTCACCCACATTCTTCAAGATATCTTCCTTTAAGTTAAATAGAAGAAAGAAACATACAGGTTTGGAACAACTTCAGGGTGAGTATGATGAGAGAATTTTCAGAACTATCCCTTTAAATGAATAAATAACATGAACGAATAAATAACAAGCACTACTATAAATTTGTCTGCAATGAAGTTCTATCTGTCTTTTTTTTAGATACAAGAATGATACATTTCGTGGTTCAGAAAAAAAAGCATGCAAAGGTCTTCCATCTTTAGAAGTAAAGAAAGAACTCCTCCCTGACTGATATGGGGCATTTGGGAGCTTTATTATTTCCCATAGAACCCTGGAAAGGTCTTTTTCAAATAGGCCTACTCACCAGAAAGCTTTATAATGCTGTGGTAATCCATCAATCACTGGTGCTTATAATATTCTTTCTGTTCTGCCCAACATCTCCACAAAAGCTTGATTCCCCCCCCCCCCCCCCCCCAATTTATTGCTCTTTTTATTTTTCTCATCACACATGCAGCGAAACGCCACTGTTTTAATTATCATAATTGCAGCGTTCGTCAATCGCGTACGTTTTGGAGCACTAACTTCTGCATTTCCCTACAGCCAAGTATCTCCTCAACTCGTTCGCGAAGACTGCCAAAGGTTAATTAAAAAAAGTTAACACTCGAGAACTCCTCGGACCGAGATCTGTTTAAACATACTGAATGTCTAAAATAAAAAGACAGAGAGAAAATGTTCGTAGAATGTGGAATGAGATGGTATTAATAATGCATCAGCCGTAGCTCTGTTGAAACACAATTATAGAGAGGGTTTTCTTAAAAGGGAAGGACTGAGAGAGGCCCAGTCATCTCTAAACAGTCACTTTGTTTGGTTTTGCTTGTAATTGTTCTAAAGATAAGCAACTCAATTAGGCTGTGATTATTTTACTATGAGGCAAACGCCCCGAGCGCTGTGTTCATTGTCTGAATTGTTAGAGTCAATAAGACCAAAGCTGGGTTTAAAATTAGTATCCATCTGCTTGTTTGTGTTTCTTTTTTGTTCTTAATGAGTTGATGATGTCTACATTAGTTAATGAATTCCAGGCACGGTAATTGGCAAAATGTTTTCTCTAAAATTTTAGTTGCAAACTAAAAAAGTACGATCTGAAACCCTGAAAACGAGTGCACTCTACATTATTTAGATCACGTTTTGACACTTTTATGTTGCACAGCTTGCTTCCAATAAACCAATGAACCACAGAAATCTGTTTTGTACAGAAACCGTGTTTATCAGACAGGCAGACAGAAATACAAAAGTTTCAGATGAAGTATGTAGGCCTTGTGCTTTTGATGGCTGTAGCACAACATCCTATGGCAAGGTCTTCACCCAATCAGTGGTGTTTGGATGTGTTAATGCACCCTCATCTTTCTCCAGGGGGTTGATGGTGAAATCAAACATTGTGTGGAGGCCAAAAACAAACTGTTATTATCATATGCAATAAAGCAGTGTGCATAATGCATGAACGCCTATGGGTGTTCACTACTTGGTGTGTCATGCTGTTGTATTATTACTCGTTTGATGCTCGTAATAAGTTCAGAATTGCATAAATAGGTCACACTCTTGTTCATATTACTGTATTGAACTATGTGTACTTTTTTGTGGAACCATCAAATTATACAGTTATGGTAATGATTTAACACTCTACAAAGAAGTGCATATATTGTTATTATTTACAATAAATCATAGATTTCCATTAGATTAATGCCATTAGTACACCCAAAAAAGTATGCATTTGAACATGTTCATTACTGAATGAATCTGTGAACAAACACCATAAGTAATGCAAAACACACAAGATTGAAGTTTGTCACTTTTTTGTCAAAAAAAAAAAGGTTTGAAATCTGGTTTC